GGGCCCCCCCCCCCCGCGGGTTCAACTCCCCCCTGGGACGCTTCCGGTACGTGCTATAGTGCTATGTTTAGGTTTAGGTGGCAGGTGAAGTAGGCCACTGTTTGAGTTTGGAAGGGGGGCATGAAACATGAAATTTACGCGAGGGTTCAAGGCTTCAATGATGAGCATCACGGGAAGTCAGAAACCAGGCGTATCAGATACACGTGCCTTTGAGCTTCGTTCGGCGTCTCAGTGCATATGGCTGACACTTCACTCGACAAAGATGCTCAAACAAACATACATAAACCAGGTGTATCTGATACGCCTGGTTTGTGACTTCCCGTGATGCTCATGATGCTGCGTTGCTTTTCTTCAGTCCCTCATTACATATACATGACGATGCAACAGCAGATTCAACAAGCTCACATGTTCATGACATCGACATCGATAGAAGAAACCAAACAAATCATGCAAGCAGCTTTGTTTTGCCTCTGGGACACCTTTTGGGCACCTCTTATGGCATCCACACTGGTTCAACTCCTCCGTGGAGGTTTTGGGATACGGTGCAACAGATTCAACAAGCTCACAGGTTCGTGAACACATCGGATGCATCGAACAGTGTGGCAAAGTCCAGCCACGCTTCCTTAATTATCGGGGCCTTCAATTCTAAGGTTGGCTGTGTCATTGCTGTTTGTGTGTCTTACATGTTCACAACGTTTTACCTCATGAGCATTTGCCTCACTCCGCTTGATGTCCCACCAGTCCGGATGCACCCCTGCTAGCTTGCGTCACCTACCCTCGGCCTCAAGTGTGGTACTGGGCTCGAGCTGGCCAATCCCGGTGGCGCCTGTCGTTCGTTTTGGAGGTGCTGCCTCCGGCCTGGAGCCACGGCAATCCCATCGACGTGCTGGGGGATGCCAGTGCCAGGCACTATGCGGACAGCTTGGCGGCGGTGGCCCTGGACCCGAACTGCGATGGCTTCCTGGTGATCTTGACGCCCCAGGCGATGACGGCGCCCACGGAGTGTGCCGAGGCCTTGTCCAAGTATGCCAAGATCCAAGGCCCGGGGGGCGAATTGGAGAGACGAAACAGTCTTCATACTTCTGTTGTTCTTTTTAGGCTTGCCTGCTGTTGGGCATTTTGAACTTGGCTTAGATGTGCTTAACTTTGCGGTCCTGCTTCTACAAGAAACAACACAAGTTCTCAAACAGGTACAGAGCTGGTTCTCAATGGGGCACTTGAAAGACTCTGGCCGTCGACCCGCGAAGGCTGATAGAATCATTGGGTGATGCCAGGTCAGGTAGGGGATGGGATTTCGTGGAGTCTCGGAGTGTCTTTTAGAAAAGTGAGTGTCCATTATCCATATATTGATTCTCCGATTTCGTTGGTAGGCAAGCCAGTTTTGGCGAGCTGGATGGGTGGACCCGATGTTGCTCCTGGAGCGAAAGTCTTGAATGATGCGGGCATCCCAACATATGCTTATCCAGACATGGCATGCAGAACCTTCAACTACATGCACCAGTACCAGACCAATTTGGAGAGCAACTATGACCGCATTGATTTAAAAGTTGACCTGGAAGCCGTCCAGGTGGGCCCCAGACTGCCAGTTTGAAGACTGTATTTCCTATCAGAGCATAGCGCTGAGCAACAGGGTGCATCTCGAACCGATTTGTGAAAGGACATGTTGTCTAGGTCATGTGAAGCTCTTCGCTGAGCTTGGGAACCTAGATCCGAATCCCAAATCCATGGAACCCCCTGCAGATGCTCCGCTGTCAGGCTGGTAAGTTGGAGGCACAGAAGCTCATCGGCAAGGTCCGTGAAAGCGGTCGGTCTTTGCTCACAGAGGCGGAGAGCAAGCTGTTGCTGAAGGCGAGGTGTGAACCTCCTTTTGGGACTTTTGGGGTTTGTCACACACGGGGGCACGTCGTTGTGGGGTTCGCCCAGTGAGCGATTCGACTGGCCGCTAGCCCCATTTCCCGGATCTGCTTCGCTTGTTCTCCGACAGAAGCACTCTTCCCCCAAACATCGAAGCGGGTGATGGGCCCCGCCGGTGCGCTCTGTCGAAGGCTTACGGCATCCCCGTGACGCCCTGCGAGCTGGCGAACTCCCCGGCCGAGGCGGCGAAGGCGGCGGAAGAGATGGGCCTCTGGGACTCGTTGTCATGGATGGCAGAAGCTATGGGACTCCAAATGGATCCTTCATGATCCTTCATATCAGTTAGATCAGGTAGTAGGCATCCTGACCACAGCCTCACTGTTTTGTTTCATGGATCCCCATCTGACAATGGCGTACAATGTTTGTAGTAAGTTTCCATCAGAACATTATTCTTTCTTGGGCACGTGTGGGAAGGGAGAAGAACGACAGCTCGTATGCAGCCAAGGCTTTCCCGTGGTTCTGAAGTTGAATTCCACCACGATCACTCACAAGGCCTGTGGACGGCTCAGCAGTGAAGGGTGGGCATGGTGCAGCAAAACGGACACGTTCTTCTTCGGAGTGAAAGGCCTTACTTTCGCTTTTTGCAGTGAACGCACCAGTACAGCGTAGGAGAACTTCTTCTCAATTGGTTTGCTTAACGGAGTGTGGTCAGGGTGTCGGAAGCCATTTCGGACGAATGCGCGAGGGTTGACACCAAGTCGTCCCGGTGTCGTATCCAAACTCGAACTCCGAATTTCATCTCTCAACCGAAAGAAACCAAGAAACCACCCCCAGGGGCAAAAAACACCAGCGACCACTGCGACCATGGTCACTACTGACCGTGGGGCGCCCATCTTCCTTCCAGCGGGACTGAGCTAGAAACGTTGCTGTGCATGTGAGGATGGGCCAAAAAACGGTGGCTGATCGATAGAACCGGGTCCGGTAGCGTTGATCAATTAATCCAGTCTAACTGGCCGCTGGTGGCTGCACTAGACTGCAGACCGATGTGGGTGGCGTGGTGCTCAACCTTCACACCAGCTATGCAGTGGAGAAGGCTTACAACGACATGAAGGAGAGCTGTGAGTGAGGCAGGTTAGCGTTAGCTTTGTCCGATTTCTTTGCGGAGAAGACAATGTTGTTGAGTATTGACTACATGCTTGCAGTAAAGAGATTTGGGTTTTGTGTCAAAGTCACGGTTTTGCGCCGGCTCCATTTCGTGGGGGCCCACAACCATACACTTTGTAACAGAAGTTTCTCTCCTGGATGAAAGGGTTGCCTGGAGGTGACCTTTCACCCAAAGCCTACGAGGGCATAGCTTATATAGCGGTTTTGAGCCCCACATTTGGTACGGCAGAAGGACAAATGCATTGAGGATATATTTTTCTATTCAATAGGAGCAAGAAGCTACCAGGGGCTCCTGGCATCGCTACTAGGAGCAAGGACGCTATTCGTAAGGTTGGAGGCTGAGAAGTCCGCACCGGTGTCCGACTTTCCGAATGTAGTGGTCTGACTTTGGGGCTTCCTCAAGGCAAACGGTGTTCGTCCAATGGCACGTGTGACAGACTGCCCCGTGCCACGTGCGACTGCCAGGAGAGCGTGTCGCGCTTGGCCTCGCCGGAGGGTTTCGAAGGGGTCACAGTGCAGCCGATGATTCAGGTGAAGGGCTATGAAATCATCTTAGGTTACTGGGCAAGACGAGAGAATGGGGACTTGGACCTGAAAGCGGGAGAATATCTTTTTTTTTCAGTCATGCAACCAAGATTGGGACGCGGAGGGTTAATGTAGAGTCTTGATGAGTACAGTTTTTTCAACCCAAGAGGTTTTTGATGTTGATCAAGAGTCAACAAATTCAGGCTCCATAGATGGACTTCCATAGATGTTGGCTCCCCAAATCATGGTTTAGTGATTTGGGATTTGCAGTGGAGTCGTCTGGCGCCGCCTTCGTCGTGGAGTCGTCTGAGGCTCGTCGCTGGATCCTCAACTGGGCCCCGTCTTGCTGTTCGGCACCGGTGGAGCGTTGGTGGAGGTGCGGAAGTCCACTCCGTCATGTGGGATTTTTTAAATAATATATTCCTTGGATGTAGTTTGGGGAAATGGGGTAGACTCCATGGGTATATATATATATACATACATAGATGGATGGATGGATCGATAGATGGATCGAACGATAGATGGATCGAACGATAGATAGATAGACCGGTAGGAATTTATATGAACGTGTAAATTACCTTCCAGATGCTCAGATGGTTGTGACTTTTGGCATGGAGATCAGTGTTTCGATCTGTGATCCATGATCCGTAAGTCTGCCTCGGCAGCGGCTGCAGGTGTTCCAGGACTCAGCCGTGGCCCTGCCGCCGCTGAATCCCAACTTGGCCCGGAAGATGTTGCAGGAGACTTGTAAATCGCGACAATAGGGTGGCTGTCCGAGTCGTTCAATGGCTCTATCTAACATGAACTTACCAAGAATCATCAGATTCAGCAATCGCGAAAGGAAAAGGAACACTCATAGCTGGCTCTTTGATTGATTTTCATTCAGACACGAGATGTCGAGACGTTCGTTTGCGAGTGGGTCTAGGTGCTGCTATGCCTGGTGTTTGGAGCAGATTAGCAGGTTCGATTGTTGGGAAATGTGCGGTTGTTCCTTTGCTTTGTGTGACAAGCTGTCAAAAAGGAGACAAAGCTGTACAAGGCTCTTTTGGGTGTACGAGGCTGGAGTGACTGGCAATTCGGGGTTGAACGACTAAAGCTTCTCAATTTGGTTGAACTCCTAGTGCTGTTTGGATCCATGTCAATACAGTGTGGTTTCCAGGCACACCCATCTTGGAACGATATATATATATATAATATATATATATATATATATGTGACCACTCATGGGTGTGACTCACAGATTTGTGTCCTGAGAGGCATGGGGGCAGTGGACCTGGATCAGTTGATTCAGATCATGGTTCGCTTCTCTGTTCTCATCTTGGACCTGCCAGAGATCAAGGAACTTTGTCTTGTTCGTTGGCGATTGGTTCGAAAAGACTCGGTCGTTGATGACTCTGCAAATGAAACCTTTGCAAGTCCTTCACAAAGCTGTGGGCTATTCTTGCAAACTTCTGGATTCTCGAGCTGTAATGTTGTATGAGTTGCATGTCGTAATTCTCTTCTCGGTACCTTGCAGGAGTGTGACATCAACCCGTTGATTGCCTCCTCTGAGAGTATTCTCTCTTTGGATGCTCGAGTCTTGTTGCACGATCGGGATGTGGAAACCAGAGATCTGCCACAGCCCTCCATCCGTCCATATCCCCATCACTACGTCAATGTGATTGATTTGGACGATGCCTCGAAGGTGAAACTGCGGCCCATCCTGCCAGAGGACGAAGGCGTTCGGCGGTTGGCCGTGTTGGTGTTTGCTGCGCGGAACGCGTTCAGCGGGGCGTTCATCGATCCATGGTGTCATGGTGTAGGTCTGTGATTTGTTCGTCCAGCGATCGTGTCATGGTCAGTCTGCCTTATGCCTCCTTCGAAGTCGCGTCGCAGGCATGATGCGCTCCTTCTATGCCCGGGCAAGTTGGCCAGAGGGATGTAAACCCGCTACGATGCCCAATGAAGCGGAGAACGAGGTGTGCAGCCTGGACCGACAGCATCTCATTCGCACCTGCTTCGTGGACTTCGACCGCTCCATCGTGCTGGTGGCGGAAGGTGTGACGGTCAACGAAATGTTGCTTTTGGTTTCAAAGCGGCGGGATGCATCATTCCAGGAAATGCCTTCCCCCCACCCAGCAACAGTGGAACATCCTGAGGGCCTTTTCTTTGCTTACCAAACCGCCGCAACTACATTGCAGTGCTTGCTGCTTTTTGGTGTTTCTGGCCATCCACAGCCAAACATGGCAGGTCACGAGGACGGGGAGAAGTGTATCATGGGCGCGGGCCGAATCAGCAGGGAGGAGATGTCAGATGATGTGACCTTTTCTTTGCAAGTTTTGCCCTCCTGCCGCAAGAAAGGCGCGCGTTTTTTTCACCGTGCAGTTTCCGCTGGCAACTTGCACGGTTGTGGGATCACCGTGTAGTGAAAATACAGAAATCAACAAGGACACTAGACAGTGCGTGGGAATCCTTCTGCATCCAATCAAACTGATTCTCCGAACCCACCGGTGTTGCCAACTATTTTTTCACCATGGCAGCCATTCCCAGTCTCCCAATTTGCTCTTTCGACTCCGACGGTGAGACGGCTCACTGTGAGGGCTTGGCTCGAAAATCATGAAGCGCCTCATTGAGTTGGCGGGCTTGGAGGGCGCTGCTTGCATTAAAGCTGATGTCTTCTCTGAAAATCGTCGGGCTTTGCGTTTCTTGGAGGTGAGGGCTTGAGCCAGACCTGCAGCGAAATATAACTAACTGATAAGGTGCAGAAGTGGTTGAAGAATGCAATTGCAAATCCAAGGAGATTTGTTTGGTCTGCCAGCTTCCGAAGAGATGATCGCTAGCAACTAGCAAGCCTACTGTAAATTTGAAGACAAAGACACAATATGAGTTAGTTAGAGCGACGCAGAGAGTGAGAGAGAGAGAGAGAGTGTGACACAGTGTGACGCAGAGTGATAGTGAAAGGGAGGAGCAGGAAAGAAGAGAGGTATATAGTGAGTCTACAGCAGAAAGAAAACACGAGATGTAAAGAGATCAACATCTCTGTTCGACAGCAGAGAGGGGGGACGACGCTTTCAACAACATGTCTGCTGCCGTTCTCAACAGGGCGCTTGAGCCTACTAGCCAACAGGAACAAAAAGCGCGCGCAACAGCAGCTTGGCATTTTACATGGAAGCGGAGCAGTGATTTTGCAAACGTTCAGGAACGCTGCCAACGCCACAGAGCGAAGCACGAACACACAATACAGAGCCAAGACCAACTTTTGACAAGCGCGTGGGGCAGTGGCTACCTAGCGCGCACGCTCAAAGCAACCTTTGACAAAAGCACAACAAGGAAACCTTTGCCACTTGAGAGCTTGAGCTGGCCAAGTACAAAGCACACACCGGACAAAGCAACCACTAGCCTGTGACCAGCGGACCATTGCAGAAACACTTGCAACTACACTCCAGCGAAGGAACAACATACACTAGGAGACTAGCACTTAGAATATTGAAGCTATAGAATTTATCAATTAAATTTTTCGCCCTTTCAGAGAGCAGGGTTTTTGACATTTGCAGATAGAATATGGCACGTGCAGATAGAATACTGATTGTACGGAGACGCCATGCGTGAACCTCTGCTCCAGCATGCCCTCAAAGCTGTGTGAAGTGACTACTGAATGTGATGCTGTGCACATACTGTACCAAAGTATACCTCAGTATACCATATTGCATCAAGCCAGAATGACACTGCTATCCAACAAAGAAATGCATGGCAGGCAGCAGCATGCAGTGAATAGCACACAACTTGCAATACCCTTTACAGTATATACGATGAATTCAGCGTCGGCCCATGTACGGGCAACCGCCGAGCTATTGGAGAAGTCTGCTGCTCAGGCAAGACGGGGATAATGTTTGTATTCTAACTGCATCCCCTTCTGTGTAGGGGTGCACTCAGGAGCACCCAAAATGGTCAAAAACATGTGTCCGTATGCGGTCAATGTTGGATACTGTAAACAAAGAATAATGTTTGAATGCTCTTTTTCTTACAATGGATTTGTTTAGGAACAAAAGCTCTTTCAAGAAACTATGTAGAGTATACTGTATATATTTTAATATATATATATACATATATTCTAACTGCATCCCCTTCTCTCTAGGGGTGCAATGAGATAAGCATGGGCAAGTGTGTCCTATACAACTTCAGGTGCTTACCATATCTACTGTACAGTACAGTAAACCATAACTCAAAGGACTGGTAACCCCCTGGAGTTCTGAAGGAACATATTCTAACTGCAACAACTTGACGTAAAACACAATACAGTACAAAGTACAAAGTTCTCTGGTTGCAGGTGCGATCTTCACAGGAATATGCAAGGGATCGCAAGTCCATGAAGGCACCTGAAGCAGTTCAGCCTCCTCTAGCTCCTCCTGCTGAACCACCTGGTGAAGGCCTGTCTGACCCTGAACCAGAGGATGCAGAACTGGAACCACCATCCAAACCAACAAGCGATCCTTGGATGTGCCAAGTTCGAAGTCCAACTTGTTCCCTACTGTTTGGTTTTCAATTTCAGGTGATAGTGTTGGCCTACAGGAGCAGCATGTTGCTCAAGCACCCAATGTCTCAACAACAACTAAGGACAATATTACCGTTATGCAGCACTTTGTCAAAGTCAGCATTGGTGGCTCCATGCGCAAGTTCATGAAAAAGACCTATGGCAATGGCAAGAAGGCTCATCAACCATTGGTGGTTTGGGCCTGCGAGGTGTTTGAGGAGCTAGCACAGAAAAAAAATTCCGCATTCGATACAGCAGTCGCTTTGAGACAGCCATCGGAACGCAAAGCTATCTTGGAAGCTGCTGGGTGCGAGAGCAAGTTTTGGAACCCGGGCAAATACTCAAGACTTGCCACACAACGAGCCGCGCTAGTCAGGCAGCTTTGTGATGGTTTTGATAAGCTCTTGGAGGACCAGATTATCACAACCGTCCTTGGCAGGGCCATTGGGGATGCAAGTGGCATGAAGATGAAGGCCACTGCGACTGGCTTTTCTGCCTCGTTTCAAGGATCCAAGCAGGTGGTTGAACAATCGTTTCGATCCTTTGCTGACTGCGTGGATTGGCTTTTGGCTATGCTGGTTGCAGAGAAGGAGGGGATGGGGTGCAGGGTAGTAGTGAGGTGAGTTAGAGCTTGGGGTGCATATTCTAACTGCTGTTTATGGCATGTAGCTGCATGAAGAATGCGACAACAAATATATACAGTAAAGGAATACAATACTGCAACGCTGTCATGTACAGTACAGTAGGGCATCTTGATACGCGAAACAAACTTTTGCAGCCTCCGGATGCTCAACCCCCTTCAGGGTGGACGTCTTCCTGAGTCCATCAAGGCAGTGGTGAAGGAGAGTGAGGGGGATGTCAAAGCCCTGAAGCTTATGCAATCGCTTGCAAAACAATCTGACCTTCCAGAGATTCTGAACAACATTGGGGCAGAATCACAATCCAAGCCAGACCAGCTGCAGCAAGTGCGTGACGTTACTGATGATTTCCTGTCAAATACTCTTCCTCAAGGCCCCGAGCTACCCAAGAGTCCTATCCAAATCTACAAGGGCCTGATCAAACGCTTGTCTGCGACCAAGGTGGGGAAGGACAAAGGCATGAATCAGGTGGGTGTGCTTGCTGGCAAAGCACAGCGTGCGCAAGATGTGATACTTGGATCAACCGTGCTGGAGGTGATAGAAAACCAAGAGGTCATTTGCCGGTGGCAAGAATTGAAGTATGATGTCATTGGCGTGGTGACATGGGGCCAAGGTGAACGTCAAGAATATGAACACCAGCTCAACCAAGTATGGGGCCACCAGGAACAATTGGTTTTACTCATCATTGATGGGATGGAATCTCCACGAGCATGGCTTGCAGAACGGCCGACGGGCTCTGATGAGGTATCCTTTAAAGCTGTGAGTGTGGATTCATCAGGGGCCAACCGGCTGAAGGGGGACGACTTTGTGGTTTTGCCTGCTACCCAGGTGGCAGTCTCTCTCCATGACCAGGCAAGGTTCGACACCAATAAGCCGATACGGGAAAGATGAAGTGATAGGGGATGAGAAGTGATAATTGATAACCTTATAAAAGTGATGCTTTTTGTATGCAGTTAGAATATGACCACCTCCCATCTCCTTTTGTTTACATACTTAATGAAGGCTCCAGCACCAGGTCCGCCAGTGAATTAGATTCTAATTCAGGTCTTTCATTGATTTTATATTCTAACTTTTGGTGTGCAGTGCAACACGGTATAGCAGGCATCTGCACTGGTTTCATCGGCGGTGCATGACTACGTCAAAGATTTGGCTGCTAAGTCCGTCGCACTGGGAACTACATCCTTTGAGAAGCACAGCGTGCCACCAGATGGTTTGTGCTGTTACCACTCTATCCTGGGGGCCTTACACTTCTCAACTTGGCAAACAATATCCCGGAATGAATCTGGCTATGCTGTGAACCGCAGGACTGTTCAAACTGAGTCTGCCAATGCCTATGCCCTACGGGATTTGGCAATCAAGAACACAGATCCAGCAAATCCATTGTTGTCGAGGATTGCCCGTGAAGCCAGTTGCCATTTGACAATTGACATTGCCGAACTCTCTTGGTTGGGCACAGTTCTGAACCTAGCAATTCGCTGCACCATCGATGAACAGGCAGGGCTCTTCATAAATGTTCCACTACAGTACAGTAGATGTTTTGTAGTGTGCCAAGATAGCAATGGCCATGCTGTAACACAAACTCGTATCTTTCAAGAAATTCTGGGCAAGGAGCCACCTATCAACCTGAAATGTGAATCAAACACTTCCAGTTTGCAGTTTGGCCTAGCTTGCAGTACTGTGCTATAGTCTGTAGTTTTTTTTGGCTGGCCCCATGTGTGAGGCCTATGATCGCGTGAAGGAGTACTCAGTGACATCAATCCAGAAAGACGCTGTCTATGGTGTGAACCGGTCGCCAGATGTGCATTTGCTCTACCAATGGCAGGCCAACAAAGAAACGGGCCAATTGTATGCTCACTATGACTTTTTACTTCCCGCTCGCGAAGAACTAGCAGCTACTAGCACAATCCAGCTGCCGCAAGAAGCACCTTTCCAACCACTGGTTGACCCAGACGAGATGCATGGATCATCAGCAGAACATGACCTTTTGCAGCCGCAAGCAGCACAAGATGAACAACCAGAGGTGTCATCAGCAACAGCTGGCACTCAACGTGAAGCCACACCAGCACCAGCCAAGACCAAATCATCACAGCATTCAGAAACACAGCAACATGCTGAACAGCCAGCAGCACACGCAGCCACGACTGGCAGTGACCCAGCACCAGCACC